TTTCTGGTGTCTTCAATTTCTTTCTTCAAAGACTTATAGTTCTTGTCAAGTAGATCTTTCACTTCCTTGGTCAGGGTTACCCCAAGGTATTTTATGCTATTTGTGGCTATTGTGAAAGGTGATGCTTCTCTGATTTCCCTCTCTGCTTCCTTATCCTTGGTGTATAGGAAGGCAACTGATTTTTTGGAGTTGATCTTGTATCCTGCCACGTTACTAAAGCTGTTTATCAGCTGTAGGAGTTCTTTGGTAGAATTTTTGGGGTCGCTTATGTACACTATCATATCATCTGCAAATAACGAAAGCTTAACTTCTTCCTTTCCAATACGAATCCCCTTGATCTCCTTATGTTGTCTTATTGCTATTGCTAGAATTTCAAGCACTATATTGAAGAGGTATGGCGAGAGTGGACATCCTTGTCGTGTTCCTGATTTTAGTGGGATGGCTTTGAGTTTTTCTCCGTTTAATTTAATGTTAGCTGTTGGCTTGCTGTAAATAGCTTTTATTATATTTAGGTAGGACCCTTGTATCCCTATTCTCTCCAAGACCTTTATCATAAAGGGGTGTTGAATTTTGTCGAATGCTTTTTCCGCATCTAGTGAAATGATCATATGGTTTTTTTCTTTCAGTTTATTTATATGGTGGATTACATTGATAGTTTTGCGTATGTTGAACCAGCCCTGCATCTCTGGGATGAAGCCTACTTGATCATAATGGATAATTTTTCTTATGTGTTCTTGGATTCGGTTTGCCAGTATTTTATTGAAGATTTTTGCGTCGATGTTCATGAGTGAGATCGGTCTGTAATTCTCTTTCTTGGTTGGGTCTTTTTGTGGTTTTGGTGTCAGGGTAACTGTAGCTTCATAAAAGGAATTTGGCAATGACTCTTCTGATTCTATATTGTGAAATACCTTAAGGAGTATAGGTATTAATTCTTCTTGGAAGTTCTGGTAGAATTCTGCATTGAAACCATCTGGTCCTGGGCTTTTTTTCGAAGGGAGATTTTTGATAAGCATTTCTAATTCTTCGCGAGAAACCGGTCTATTTAGATCATTCACCTGGTCTTGGTTTAGCTTTGGTATATGATACTTATTTAAAAAAATGTCCATTTCTTTTGTATTTTCCAGTTTTGTGGCATACAGGCTTTTGTAGTAAGATCTAATGATTCTCTGAATTTCCTCTGTGTCTGTGGTTATGTCCCCCTTTTCATTTCTGATCTTATTTATTTGCGTGTTCTCTCTCTGTCGTTTAATTAGTTTGGATAGGGGTTTGTCGATCTTGTTGATTTTCTCCAAGAACCAACTTTTTGTTTCATTGATTCTTTGGACTGTTTTCTGTGTTTCTATTTTGTTGATTTCAGCCCTCAGTTTTATTATTTCCAGTCTTCTACTTCTCCTGGGCGCATCTGCTTCTTTTTTTTCTAGAGCTTTCAGGTGTGTTTTTAAGTCCCCAATGTATGCATTCTCCGTTTTCTTTAAGTGGGCACTTAGTGCTATGAACTTTCCTCTTAGCACTGCTTTCATTTTGTCCCATAGGTTTGAGTATGTTGTCCCTTTATTTTCATTAAATTCAAGGAAGACTTTAATTTCTTTCTTGATTTCTTCCTTGACCCAGGTGTGGTTCAGTAGTTGACTGTTCAGTTTCCATGAGTTTGTCGGTTTTTTGAGGGCAGCGTGGTTGTTGCCTTCTAACTTTAATCCGTGATGATCTGATAAGACACAGGTGGACACTGATATTTTTTTGTATCTGTGGAGGTTTCCTTTGTTTCCGAGTATGTGGTCAATTTTTGAGAAGGTTCCATGAGCTGCAGAGAAGAAGGTATATTCTTTCCTATTTGGGTGGAATGTTCTATAGATGTCTGTTAAGTCCATTTGCTTCATTACCTCCAATAATTCTCTTAATTCTCTATTAGGTTTCTGTCTGATTGACCTGTCCCTTGGAGAGAGAGGTGTGTTGAAGTCTCCTACTACTAGTGTGTGTGGTTTGATGTCTGCCTTGAGTTCTAGTAATATTTCTTTTACATAAGTAGGTGCTTTTATATTGGGGGCGTATATATTCAGGATTGAGACGTCCTCCTGATGAATTGTTCCTGTTATGAGTATAAAGTGACCGTCTCGGTCTCTTCTGATTGATTTTAGTTTGAAGTCAGTTTTGTTAGAAATTAGTATGGCCACACCTGCTTTTTTCTTAGGACCATTTGCTTGAAACACCTTTTCCCAACCCTTTACTCTGAGTAGGTGCCTGTCTTTGTGGTTGAGATGTGTTTCTTGCAAACAGCAGAATGTTGGATCCTGTTTTCGTATCCAATCTTTTAGCCTGTGCCTTTTTATAGGTGAATTGAGCCCATTAATATTAAGTGATATTAATGACCAGTGGTTGTTTACTCCGGTTATTCTTATTGCTTTTGGTAGTAGAGATTGTGTGTCTCCTTTCTTTGAGATGTGCTCGTGAAGGGTCATTAGATGCCTGGGTTATTGTAGGCAGTGTTGGCAGTGTTGGATTCCTTGGGTTGCGATTTTCCTTCTATTACTTTCTGTAGGGCTGGATTTGTGGCTACGTATTGTTTAAATTTGTTCTTATCCTGGAATGTCTTGTTTTCTCCGTTGATAGTGAACGATAGCTTGGCTGGGTATAGTAGTTTGGGTTTGCATCCATGGTCTCTTAGCTTCTGCAGAACCTCTATCCAGGACCTTCTGGCTTTCATAGTTTCCATCGAGAAGTCAGGTGTAAGTCTGATCGGTTTACCTTTATAAGTTACTTGCCCTTTTTCTTTTGCAGCTCTTAATATTCTTTCTTTAACCTGTATATTTTGTGTTTTGATTATTATATGGCGAGGAGATGTTTTTCTTTGATCCAGTCTGTTTGGTGTTCTGTATGCTTCTTGAATATTTAAATGAATATCTTTCTTTAAGTTGGGAAAGTTTTCTTCCATAATTTTGTTGAAAATATTTTCTGGGCCTTTGAGCTGTGACTCTTCTCCTTCTTCTATTCCTATTATTCTTAGGTTTGGTTTTTTTTATTGTGTCCCATAGTTCCTTAATATTTTGTGTTGAGAATTTGTTGGCTTTGTTGTTTTCTTTGATCTGTTCGTTTATTTTCTCTATGGTGTCCTCAGCATCTGAGAGTCTTTCTTCTAGCTCTTGTATTCTATTGATTATGCTTGTTTCTGTAGACTCTGCTCGTTGGCCTAGATTTTCCATATCCAGCTGGTCCTCATTTTGTATTTTCTTCTTTGCCTTCATTTCAGTTTTCAATTCTTGAACTGTTTCCATTACCTGTTTGATGGTTTTTTCTTGGTTTCCCAGGGTATCATGTACGTATTTACTCATTTCTTCAAACTTTTTGTTATACTTCTCATCCATTTCTATAAGGGCATTTTTTACATGTTGTTTAAGGGACTCTATTATCTTCATAAAGTCGATTTTTTCCACTTCTTCTGTGTTAGGTTGTTCAAATACTTCTGTTGTAAGATCATTGGGTTCTGATGTTTTCATGTTGTTTTTCGGATTATTGGGTGAGTTCTTGCCTTGGCGCCTGCCCATCTCCTCCTATTGATCCTATCCAATGGATCCTTTAGAAACCGGATCAGGTTTCCCTGCTGGCCAAGGGCTCCGCTTACAAAATGCCCTCACTCTCTTTCGTGGTTCCTGCTGCAGGCCAAGAACCCTCTCACCCCTCCGAAGGATCTTCAGGACAGGACCAGGCTCCCCTAGTGCCAGTGACCTGGCCAACCAAAGGCCTACCTCTTTGATTCAATTGTAGTAGGGCGATCTGCTCTCCTTATTGCACGCCTGTCCCAGCCGCTTGGGTCTGGCCGCGCTCTGCTGCGTCTGGCGCCGCGCCGCTGCGCCTCTGTGCGTCTCTGTCCTGTCTGTTTTTATGCCAATGCAGGTGTAATTTTTAACAAGAGGAAGATTGGGCATCTTTGTTAGAAGGGGCTAGGAGTCGTAGAGAAGAGAGGGGATGAGGGAGGAGGAAAACAGGTGTTTGTCCCAGAGTGAAAATGGACTGCCTCTGATAAGAGAGGAGACAGATGTGGCACATAGGCACCTGGTGGTTTATAAAGGTAAAGAGGAGAACCCTGTGCTAGGATGAGGTATTTAATTTTAATCAGCATGTCAATTAGGTAAGCCAGAGAGGGTTTTTGATTGCTGGACTTTGGTAGTCAACCTCAGGAGGAGGAAGTGGCCAAATAAGTGAATAGACCTTGGTAGCTAGTTTTAGGAATGTAATCTAAAGGCTTTTAGCAAGGCAAAGGGAATGCAGGAGAAAGGCAAGGCTTGCCAGAGCCACATGCTTGAGTGGACTAATGGTCCTTCAGAGCTTGGAGAGATAGCTTAGAAGTCAAGAACAGGTACTTGCAAGAGACATGATGGTACTTGCCTTTGATCTGATCATTTTGGAGGCAGAGGCAGGAGGATGCAGGTGCGTCCTGGAGAGGATGCAGGAGCACTTGTCTTCCCTTTGCTATGCAAATGACCCTGTACTACCCATAGACCTGGCCCACAGCAGGACATCACAGACACATGGATCTTACATGCTTCTCTCAACATGCCATACAGAGCTGCCAGAGTACAGGACTCCATCACTCTTTGATATCAGTAATACATTAAGGGAAAATTTTGCTGTGTATTATAAAGGTTTTCATGTCATATCCCATAATAGTCTTCTAATAAATACATCAAGTACTTTTATTAAAAGGCAAGAGCCTTTCCATCATGAGTATTCTTTACCAGTGACACAGAGATGTCTTTGGAGGGGGGGCAATCTAAATGGCATCTGGCAGTCAACTAAGTTTTGACATATAATTACTTATTCTCATTATGAGATCACTCAAGATTTTTTAGTGTTTGTTATAAGTTTTAGAAACAAAACTTTAAAACGTTTTAGACTATTCATCTATGATACATAAAATACAGGAAATTCATGGTGTCTACAATGGAAAATATATTTGTCTCCAGCCATGGTCACAGGTTTGTGTGCAGGCAGCAGGTGCCTGGGGATCACTGTGCACTTGTTGCACAGAAGTATGTGGCTGAGTCCTTAATATGAGCAGCTGTGATGTTCAGGGAGAGACGTTTGTCCTCCTTATTCAGTAGGACAGTGAGTCCTTGTTCTTCTTTCCTGTCCACATTTGAAAGAATACTTAAAAGGAACTGGAGATCTGCCCCAGGCTCTTGCTTGTACCAGGAGAAGTAATAATTGGCACTGTCTGTGTAGGTGCAGTTGATAACGGCGCTGCCTCCCTCCTGGACACTCAGGAGAGAAGGCTGTTCCAGCTGCTCTGCTCTGCTCACACCTGTGCAAAAGGAAACAGCAGGAAGACCATCGACACCGCTCCCCAGACTTTGTTTTTCTTCTCATGGTTATTTTAGGAACCCTGGAGGAACCAGTCTGCTTGTCAGACTGATAATGAACATTGCCAAATGCCTTGTTTCCCCAAAGCTCTCACTCACAGTTCAGCTGCAGCCACAAGAACAGGATAAGATGCCCAATCAGTGTCGCCATTGCTCTCCTTGGGGATTGTGACCTTCAGCCAGGCAAGATGCTTATGTGGTCAGCTCCCCTCCTCTGTCCCCCACAGCACTGCAGGTTCTTCAGTCATCTGCACAGAAAGCTGATTGTAGCTACTCTCAAGTTTGCAGCAACAGCCATGATCTGCCACCTGGTGGACAGTTCCCATATGTTGCACCAGCTGCTCCTATCCTGTTTTAGACTACTACATTTTTCATGTATTTATTTTCTGCTTTTAGTCAATATTTGTTCTTAAGAATGTAAAATACAGAGCTGAGAACTGATTCAATACTGTTTACCTTAGCACACAGTTTCATATATTGCTATAATCTCAGAAAAATATTTTGGAGACACTCCTAACAGTATTACCCATCACATAGGGTATTTATTACTGTGTAGAATTAGAAGACATTAACATGGGTCCTCCAGTAAAAGATTTCAGTCTTTTCCTACATCCCCAATACCTAACATGCTCAGGAGACAGTACCTGGTTTAGACATTAGACACCTCAAGGTGTACAAATAGGGGAGCTACTGGAGCCATTGAGAACCTGCCTAATGAAAAGTTTGGAAAACTGTTAGGGATCAGAAATAAAGTTGGACCATAGAAAGGGAAATAACGTTAAGTGATTGTAGCACTTTTGAGTAACTGATCCTTGGCTGACATGTCCACAGACAGAAACACCCCCCCACACACACACACACACACACACACACACACACACACACACACAGACACACACACACTGAATGTAATTTTTAAGTGCAAAACTTTTATAGCAGTTTTAAAATAAAGGTTTATAATCATAAATACTCCCATTAGGATAGCAGAGAGGATGCACTTCTCCTGCTGAGTCCCACCTCTACCACCTCGGAACTAGACTCCAGGCATTATTCACAGTCTCAAGAACCAGGACTATCTACAGTTTCCAGGAATCCAGTTCCAGGATTCTATCCCATACATCCTCCTACAACAAGTAAGGTGACGTAACTATACCACCCAGGATTTAGTGCACAAGACACACAACCTACAGGCCTCCTACAATAAATGGAGGACCTGTCTTCCCCTGTTTAAGACTGTGTACACAATTCCGAAACTATTCTTCAGGTGCTGCCAATTATAGTGCACTGGATCCATCTAAAACTCCTAGGAATTTTGTTCTGGAAAGCCAGGACACCCAGCCTCCTGTAGCAAGTAGGCTACCTGACTCCTCCTGCTTGACCCAACACACACTGCTACGGAAAATTCTGCACCAGCATCCTCCATATCATCCTGACTAAATTTCTTGACATGCTTTATTTCTCATATTATTGGGTGTGGATGTTCAGGAGGGGAAGGGCCATTCTTGGGCAGTGCTTATAACATGAGCCTGCAACTCCCCATTGGTGAAGTAGTGAAAAGAGTCTAATGAAGCAGAAAGAAATCTCTATCTTTGGAAGGAGGAGATGCTGAATGGCTTCCCCTGTGTCACAGGTGAGACTCCTAGAAGGGAAACCTCAGTTTTGGTTAGTTCAGGGAGAAATGATTAGCAATGAGGCAATCATGTTATTGATTAGTTATCTCAAGAAGGGGATGATATACTTCCTGGGATGTGTTTGGAAGTGAGTCTTCTAATTCCAATACATGAAGTAGTGAGTATATTCTAATGAAGCAGAGAGAGAGATCTCTGCCTTTGTAATGAGGAGGTGATGAAGGTTTTCCCTTGTGCTTATGGGAAGGCTCCTAGGAAGGGCAGTATGGCTTCCAGTGAATCGCAGAAGAGCAATAGTATGCAGTATTATAATAGTAGCAATAGTTAGTAGGTAGGTGAGGGCAGCTGCTGGTGTCCATATGATTGCCTTCTCTGGACATTCTATTGTATTCTGGAGAGCCCTTGTCACTCCTTGTGATGTCACCAGTGTTCTGGGAACACCATGTAACAGTGGGATATTCTTTCAGTGCCTATAGACATGTTGGCAAGACTGAGAAGGCTGCTTGGGAGAGAATGGAGAACATGGGGAGATCTGTGAGAGGTAGAAGAAGGGTAGACTTCAGTCTTAGTGTAAAACATGGAGAAATAAATGGCTCTGTGGAAGGTACAGTGAGTTCAGGGAAGGGAATGGGGAGGTTCCTGGAGGAGGTCGAGCTTGAGCTGGGCCTTCCAGTAGTGGGGCTTGGTATCTGGGAGCTTCTGGGAAGCAATGGGCTTATCCTGCTTCTCTAGGTGTCCCAAGAGCATGCCCAGAGTAAACGGTTTCCGATCGTTAGCTTGGGAGAACCATGGATTGCCAAACCTGCACCTGTTTTTCTGGGAGATCCTTAATCTCATTCTGAATGAGAAGGAAGGACAGCAGGAGCAAAGGAGGGACTAGTTAGGTGTCTCTTCCAGGTTAAGGTGTTGCTGGACTTCATCCTAGGGGATTCCTTTAGTTTCCCTGGGAATCTGATGCTAATAAGAAGGGAGAAAATCTCCCCTGGCCATGCACCAAAGTCTCAGACATTCAGATGCTTTGGTCCTGGACACATGTGATCAGGATTTGGTGCTGCTCAGCTCTAAGGACAACAGGACTTACCTGTATCACATCAAATGTGAGGTGACCCTGTCCTCCAAATCTACATGGCTGGGCTAACTTATGCCTTACAGGTCTAGAGGACTGCATTAGGGAGTGGGGCACATGTATGACCATGGTGGTTAGGACAGAGACATAGCTGATGGACACTGGTTTGAGCATAGCTACCCTGCTCTTTGCAGACTTCACTGGGTCCATAGCATTTCCTCTTCTTTGGGCGTCTTCTTGTAACTCAGTATGGACTCTCCTGGCCCCATACCATTCAAACATACAAGTTCACTTGTTTTTATCTACCTGCAGGGACTACTGGGGAGGCACCATCCCAAGTCTCCTCCTTCACTAAGCAGGAATAGCAGATGACAGAGGTGGAGGATCTCACCATTGAGCTACAAAGTGCAACATATGAGCAAATTGAGCTGTGTGGATTAATGACCAATTATTACCCCAAGGATTTGTACAACAGGTAATCATTATGCCCAATTCTCTTCTGACCATGTTCACCCCACAGTGTCAAGCCAAGCTTTCCTGAGGAAGAGGAGGCTGAACCCTAGGGTGTCAAGGTGCCTAAACTAATTTTTGTGAGTGCATTGATTGAAGAAGAACTTGGAACCTGCGTAGCTGGGGGATAGAGACATAGGCTATTCTGTTTCCCCCAAAAGAAAAGAAGAGCTTATGGCCTGAATCTCAGTCTGGAAATAGGGACAGACGTGTGTGAGCTCTCAATATATATTAAAAGAGGTATTGATGGCTGTTGACTTGTGGGAGATGCTAGGTGCTGTGAGTTTTTGGTGCATCTTTGTCCTTGACTAGCAGATGATTGTGTGCTGAAGGCTCCTGGCAGCCGCTGGAAGGGCCTGGTCCCATTCATCCATCTCAGTGTGTTGCTGGAAGTCCTGGAGCTCATCATTACTACTTTCTGGTCTTCTTCCTTATACGCTGAGACAGTGCCACCTCCCTGCCTGTCATGGGCATCCTGATTATATATGGTATGTGTGTTGGGGCAGTAGAGATGCCTGGAATCTAGGCTATCACCTAGGACATTGTGCTGCTGGGTCCACACCAATCTGAGTGAACCTATACTGCCAATCAAGTCCATGGTGACATACAAGGCCTGGGCTTCAGCCTTGGGCCATGTCTGTATTCATACTGCAAAGAAAACCAGGATCTGTTTTCATGTCCATGGTCTGTGTTGGCACCGAGGACCACATTGAAGTAGGTAGGGATCTGGGCTGCCACTTAGGACCATGTTAATGCCTAAGGGTTTTGCTTTTGCTGTGGTTGTAAAGATCTGAGTGCTACCACCAGGAGCCCTGGTGTCTTCTGGGACTAAGAACTGTCAAAAGCCATGTCTGTATATGTTGCTCTGCCACAACCTCAGTCTATGTTGATGTCAATGACTCCTGTTACCCCTGAAACAGGATAAGTTAATACAGAGTTAGCCCTACCCCTCACAGTCTGGAGCACTAGGGAGAACTGGACCTGCCTCTCACCAACTGCAGCACTCAAGAGAGTGCGTCCTGTACCTGGACTGAGCAGTACACTAGAGCTGTCCCTGTTAGCAGTGCTGCAGGTGAGCTGCCCCTAAGGGTGTGAGAGTAGAAGATCGGGTTCTTCCCACTTCATCTGTCTTGTGTTGGCAAGGGTGAGGGAAAGATGCCTGCCTCACCTAAGCATATGCCACCTGCAGCTTGTGGGAGAATTGGCCTCTGGGGCATTAGAGCAGAAGATCTGGGACAGCCTCTCATCAACTGTGACAATTGGAAATGTGGGGCTTGCACATTACCTGGGCAGAATAACTTAACTATCTAATCTGGACTGAGTATGGGTAAGTCAGATGGAGGGGAGTGAGAACAGTTGAACTGGCCCCTCTCCATTCTGCCTGCTGCACTGGGTGAACTAGCTGGGGCAGTGCTGGAGAGCTTGCCTGGGTGGTGAGATGAGGAAAGGTGGTGGGCTAAGCAAACTGCTATCACCCATGCCCAGAACCAGGGCTAGGAGTTATTCCACCCTAATGTCCTCTTAATCTAGGAAGTGCTGGAACATGTGAAGGGCCCAGATCTGCAGATCAAAAGCTGCAGGATCTCCATGACACAAGACATCAAAAGGATATCCAAGAAGAGTATAAGTGAAGGTCGGTTATCTATAGTGCAGAGAAGCCAGAGGCATGCAAGACTTACCTGAAAAGATGTATGGACTAAAGCGTATACTGTACGACTCACTGGGTCACACTGCATCCTCTTTGCCAAGATGCTTGTTTGTTTGTTTTTAATTTTGTGAAATGGGTTTCCTACTGAAAGTAATCTAACGATTCAATAATATCACTATCAAAATCCCAATACTATGATTCAGAGGGATATAAAAGTATTAATAACACATGGAACCACAATATACCCAGAATAGTCAAAGCTAATACTAAGTAGAAATGATAATGAGGGAGATATAACA